ATTGTGCATTTAGAGAGGTTTGCATTTAAAGAAAGCCAATCAAATTGCAGCTTTTAATGTTTGATCTGCAGGCTTGTGTAATACAACTTGAATCCTGAATCCTGATCGGCTACGTGCATTTAGGGAGTTTAGTATGATATAGAAAATCTTTTGAGTAAACGTGCATTTGCAAAATATAGAACGTGTATTTAGCACTAATGATTTCTTACAGCCAGGCCAGAAACGTGCATTTAGAGAAATATTGCATTTATGGAGGTTGCATTTATGGAGATTTGACATATAATTTGAGCAACTAAAGATTTTTATAGCAAAGCCTAGTATAGCAATGTAAAAGTTGCTATGAATTCTGAAAAACAATCAGAATATTTGACAGATGATGGATTTTGCTATGGACAGGTATATGTTGTAATTTTTTAAAAAAAATTTTCAAAATATTAAATTTTTAATATTCAATTTTAGATATATTTATTAATCAAAGTTAAAACTACTAAAGAAAATTTGCATAATCTTGTATTAATTCGGTAGTATGATTTTATGTTTGAAGCTGATGTTTATTATTTAGGATGTTCTAGACTTAAAGAAACTAAATTATATAACATCGTAGATATTGAAGCAATTAAAAATTATATTCATATAATTCCACACTTTGATAAATCTAATGATTATTTAATTAATAAGTATATGTTCTAAAATTTTAAATCAGATTAGAATAGTTTAGTATTGTTTGAAAGCAATAGCATTAAATCTAATTTAGAAAGCAAACTTAAAATAAATCTAATTCAATTAAAATAAAATCAATAGATAATTAAACTATTTAAATAAATATAAAATAATTAAATCTAAACCGCAACTGCTCGAATTAAATTAATTTAATACAGAAAAATTAGATTTTAATAATCTATGTAAATTAATATATTAATAAAAAGGTTATTAAAATAATTAATTTGATTTATTTAAAATTTAATTGAATAATCTGATTTATGTTAATATTGTCTAATATCAAAATCAATTAATTCAACTTAATTTGAACTGTTTTGAATTATTTAAAAATTTCAAACTTAATTTTTTTTGAATTAATTCGAAATGTTTCAAATTCTTTAAAATTTAAATAGATATAATAAAATATATGTGATAATATTATATATATATATATATATATATTTTTTTTTAATCAATTCAGCAGTCATGCCAAAACTTTATTAGATCCTTATAAGCACAGCTATACTGTATGCTTAACTATTTAACCAAAACACTAGTTTAGGTCATCTAAGTTACAAGTTCTGACTTACCTGGTTACCCCAATTAGCACCTATGTGTGATCTACTATAGTAGATTTCACCTCCTTCCTTACCTCTTCTGAAACCGAAGTAGATAAGTCTATCAACAGTAACATCTACTACGTGTCATGACTACTAATTTCCTTAAGACCCTCCTCTTCTTAATATCCAAGCAAGAGGATTCCACAATCTTTGCCTCAAGAACAACAAGTAAACTAAAAAAACTAAACTAAAAAAGGATAGAAAAAAAAGTGGAGAGACTACAAAACCTAAATGAAAACCAAATAACAAGAAAGAAATAAAATAATAAAAAAAAGAAAAGAACAAAAGAAAAAAGCAACGACACGAAAGCACCAGATACCTCAGCACTTTTTAAGATTTTTTTTAAAAAATTATTTAATACTCCGTAAAACAATCCCAACTTTCGCTTTACTTCAGTATTATAATATTCTTATTATGTGGGGAATACGAAATTTTTTTTCTTTACCCTAGCGTATTCAAAACCAAATGGTTGTCTATCGTCTACACGTCATTCAATGGTCGTCAGGTGTATAGCACGTGACTTCCTCGTGACTTGCTATCCCAATTTGGCAGAAGTAAACATTGCCGATCCTTAACAGGAGATATGCTGATTTATCCACTTTTTGAAAAAAATTTCAAGAGAAACACCAAAAAACCTGGTGAGAATATGAATAACTATAATATTTATCAGAGTCAGGTACTTCAAACTTTCCAAGGAGTGTGTTAAAAAGCTCATTTGTTGTTCTCCTTTTCTTTATTGCCTCTCGGTTGCTTTGTCGGCGAAGACCACTTTTTCTCCAAGCCCGTCGATACCAAAATTTTGTATACAAGGACACCACCTGCCAGTTATCTTGTATTCTAACGCTTTTGGTTTGCATGCCAAATATGTCAAAGGAGTCCCCCAAGCATAAAGTTAACCTTTGCAAGAACCATCCAATAGTTACGTCAACTACTCCAACAAATTTTTTGCTTTTGTTTGGTGGAAAAATTTGGTACGAGTGATCGTTGGGTGTGATAATATTATATCAAAATCAATTAAATACAAAATAAGAATATATTAAATAAATAAATAAATAAAAAAAACAAATAATACATAAAAATAAAAAAATTATAAAAACATAAATAAAAAAAAACAAAATCATATAGAAACATTATATAAAAGTATTATTTAAAATATGTATTATGTACCCCACACCCACATACAACTATCGTAACCAACTAATATTTAAAGTTATATCTATCTATTATTTTATATTTAAATTTAATTATTCAAAATTATGATTATTGGCTATCATCATGAGAATATGTAATTTGTTGCGAATATGATATAGATGAGGTACCTTCTTTTAGATTAGTTTGGCTTACATCGGGATAAGAAGAGTTATCTTTTGGTGCTGCAAGAGAATGTGATATTTGAGAGGAATTAGAGATAGATGTAGGTATTTGTGCAGTAACTGCACTTTTACTCTTTTTATGTGAGCTAGAGAATCCTAGTGCTCTAATTCTTTTTCTATCTTTTTTAGTTTTACAAGCCACAACTTCAGCTAGGTTATTTTCTGGCATAGTATCTTTATTGTCAGTAACTAGCAGAAGATATGCAATACCTTTAGCTAACTTATCCTTATTAAAGAAATATACAAAAATTAAATCAAGTAAAATGAATTTAAAAGTAACAAAAATATTTATTAATTTAACTCACTAAATTTCTATTTATTTGAAATATTACTACATCATCCTCCATATTAAATTTTTCATAAAAAGAGTTAAGCATTATCTAGTATATAGTTATCATATATACCAATTGTATATTTATAGGAATTGTATTAGGCCAAGTATTCAAAAGAATTTGGGTAATGTAAATATCATTAGGATTAGAGGTATCAATTGGAGTAAATAATTTTTTGTAACATTGATGAGTCTTATCTGAATCTTTCTAATCTGTAATTACTCTAAAAGTAGTATTCGATTTTATTCTATCTAGTTGGGCTTGATCAAATACAGAAAAGACAGAATCTTTAATTTTAGTCGCAATTCTGCTACAATATGAGCAATGTGCAGCTAGAAGCTAATACAAAATAAATTAATTAAAAATTAAAAATAATATTGCAAATTAGTTTGAAAAAGACATAAAAACCAAAAAATTAAAAAATAAATAAAATATAAAAATTAAATTAAAATTAAAAAAAAATAGATTGATTCAAATTCAATGAAATTGCATTAATTAGACTAAATGCGAAACATTTCAAATAATTTAAAACATTTACAGAACTAGCAAGATTTTTTTCATAATATATATTCCACTCTTTAGTTTCCACGCTTTTATAAAAATCATGCTCGAATTATACAAAGTATGCCTCTGCAGCCGCCTTTAATTCATCTAATGTCAGATAAATATTTTTAATGATTAATCTTTTAGCAATTGCTGCATAGATTTGCTAATAAAATAAATTTAGATTAAATTAAATAGAAATATTTTTATTAAAAAATAATTACTTTAATGAAGTTTTCTTCATTTTTAAGTCTAAGACCTTCTGATATATATTTATCTAAATCTGAAAATTTTTGATTTAATTTAGCAACTTCTTTAGTTAAATTAAGAAGCAAGTCATTAATAGAAGCCAATGTAATTTGATCTTAATTTATTTTAAAATGTAATATAGATTAAAAAAATAAATAAAAAACAAAAAAAAACAATTTATATTATTTAAAATTAACCATCAGAAGTTCTTGAAGAATATTGTAAAATAGTTTTAACTAGATCGTAATATTGTAGAGTTGGCCTCTTAGTAACAGCAGTAGCTACATTTTAACCAGGAGTCATTCCAGCGAAAAGTACACACCTGTTGGCATTATGAGTTGAATGAAATTTAGATTTATTTGAGGCTATTTGTATAAATAATATATAATAATAATAGTAAAGGATATAAATAAAAAATAAAAAAAAGTAAAATAAAGGAAAAAGCGAAAGAAAGAAAAATAAAAAATAAAATAAAATAAATTCAAAATAGTGCAAAATAATTGATAATATATAGAAAAACAATAGAATGATATAAAAAAGATGATAAAAGTTTATAGAAAGGTAAAGGAGTAAAAATGAAATAAATCAATAATTTGGTAAAAGCAGATATATTAGAATTAACAAAAAAAAGAGTGAACTAAGTAAGATAAGTGTAGCAAATATGAGATTGATTGGAAACTATGAAGAGGAAGATAGCTAAAGTGGGTTTATTTAAAGCTTTTCAAAATTATTTTAATGTACTTGAATTATCTTACAATGTAGCGAAATGATATTAAAATTATTATCTTTGATTATTTTTAAACGTATATATTTTACTAAAGTAATCAGTTTTATTATTATTATTTTTGTTATTTGAAGTTTAAAGAATTAAAATTAATTTGAAATAATTTCTTTATTTAATTATATTAAATTTATTATATTAAATATATTTGCATATATCAATTTATTGCAATTTTAAATGCTATCAGTCTCAATAATCAATTTTAATAACTTCCAATAGTTTTAAAATAAATTAGGATTAGTTTAAACAATGCAAATTAATTCAATTTCTATAAACGATTATTTCAAAATAAATTAAAATTAGCTTAAACAATGTGAATTACTCTGATTATATTAAATATTCATACTGATAGTTTTAAAATAAATTAGGATTTGTTTAAACAATACAAATTATTTCGATTACTTTAAAAAGAAGTTCAGATTGCTTTAAAATAATTTTGGATTAGCTTAAACAATACAATATAATCTGATTATTTTAAATAAATTAACTCTATCAAACTATTATACTTTTAGACTTTATATTACTATATTTAAAATATGTGAAATAAATCTGCTTAAAAACAATTAATCACCAATTAAGTAAATTAAACAAATATAGATTATTGTGAATTATTCTATTGTTACAAAAAACATTCTAGATTTTTATGTACTCAAAATTTTAATCTAAAGTAATAAATATATAAGAGGTTAAAATTATGCTTATATTATAACGTAACAATTGTAAGACAAATAAAACTTATTCTACAAAATTCGCATATAGGGTGTCTGGCATAGTGGCAAAGGCATGCCAACAGTGGCATGCCAATGGTGGCATGCCCTGGTATGCCAAAAACAAATTTGGCATGCTACTAGGTACAGTATAAAAATTATACTTACAATATTCAAACTATATATATAGTATTATAAATAATATATAATATTTTGTGGCATGCTTTTTGGCATGCCATGGCACATATTTTAACAAAAGGCATGTCTATGGCATGCCAAATGTTTTTTGGTGTGTCAAACACCCTATTCGCATAGTTGCAATTTAATTGAATCTGAAAAAAAACACTATAGTGCATAGAACTTCACAAAAAATGTTAATTAAATTATTGTAATAATGATAAAAATACTGTAAATTAATAAAATTTGTACTTGTGCGATTTAATATACTTAAATAATTAAAATCAACAAAATTTTGTAGAATGTATATCAAAAAACTTATTAAGTAAATTAGAAATAATTTGAATTGTTTTAATTTAAATAAAAACAAAATATAAGTTTTTAATAATATTTTAAAAATGTTTAATTATATAAAACAAATTAAATACAACATCAACTCTTCCCGACGATCACCTGGACCAAAATTTTCTGCTAAAGAAAAACCAGAACTACTTGTTGGAGAGTCGTGGCCTATACAGTGGTTTGTCTAGAGATCAACTATACTCTCGGGGACTCCTTTAAAAAAGGACATTCGGCATGCAAGCTAGGAGCGTTATTATACAAGATAACTAGCAGGTAGTGCCCTTGTATAAAAAATATTGGTGGAGTATGGGTGGGGAGGCCCAACTCCGTCAACGAAGCTGTTTGGTCATTACTTCAATGAAGAACACAAAGAAAACAACAAGAAGCTCTGCTCTTTCAACATACTCGTTTAAAAATTTTGAAAGTATTTGCAACTCTCTCCTTGCATTTTTTCCTTCCGTCGGTTTTTTAAAAATTTTTTTCTCAAAAGTGGGGATTTGGCTTACTCCTCCAAAAGATCGACATTGTTTACATCCCAAATCTGGAAAGCCGAGTAGATTACAACCACGTGTCCGACGAATACGGTGCTACTAATTTGGATAGGTCCCGAGTTCGAGGTTAGAACCAAATATTCCGGAGTCAGTCATATGGTCGCGAAGCATTTTATTAGAGATATGCAAATGTTGTATTTGTTATATAATTTTTATACTTGCCTGGCACGAGTTATAATAGTGTACTTTTTCTTTTTCTTCCGTTCTATTTGTACTGCTTCTTGATAGAGGTAATTCCTTCCTTTGTTAGCCCTCGGGCTTTTCTTTTCGATTTTCTTTTTTTATATTTCATTGTACCCTCTTTTATATTTTCTTTAAAAATCCCCCTTCGTTCTATCTGTTTTTTTTTAGTTAGTTTTTCTTTTTGTTTTCTTGGTACTATTGGTAGTTTTGTACTAAATATAAGATCATTACTTTCTTTTGCTCTCGGTAAAGAAAGAGAATATAAAGGGAAAAGCTTTGACGAGCTGACAAAGTTTATCTAACTTGTTTACAAGTTGGTGCGACACGTCACATCTGGCGCACATGATGTAGCCGGGTAATGTCGGGCTTGCAATTTTTAATTAAATATTATTAGAATTTTTGAAACTTTGTTTTGTAGTCTAATAGTAATATAATTTGTATTTGAGCACCAGCAAGACTGTCAAAGAATAAAAATATATATATATATATATATAATTATATTACTATTATATATAATAATAATATAAACTTGAATAACTTTTAATCTACTAGACCAATTTGGATGATTTAATTGCTAAAATGATCCTTAGAATAACAGCTTTCTAATGAATCCAAAATCATCCAATTTTGATTACAAAATCCTGCGATCAGAAATATTTTGTATTATATTTACTATATAGTAAATACTTCCGATCTCGGGATCCTATAATCAGAATTAGATGATTTTGGATCCATTAGAAAGCTGTTATCCTAAGGATCATTTTGGTAGCTAAATAATCCAAATTGGTCCAGTAGATCAAAAGTTATTCAAATTTATATTATTATTATATATAATAGTAATATAATTAGAAAATTGATATTTTCACACCCTTTTTTGATAATGCTACACCCTTGTAGATCATTTTAATTTTTTTAATTTTTTTTTTAACTTTAATCAAAGATATCTTGGCACATACCTGTCCAAATTCGATCAACTTTTATCTTTGAATTCTACAACTTTCTACAATTAAAATAAAAAAAAGTTAATCGAATTTGGTCAGGTGAGTACTGAAATATCTTCAATCAAAGTTTGTAAACAATGCTGCTGCAGCTTATATTTAATAGACGTTTTGATTTTTACAAAATCTTTGATCGAAGATATCTCGGCACCCATCTAACCAAATTCAATCAACTTTTTTTCTTTGAATTCTATGGCTTTCTACAATTAAAATAAAAAAAATTTGATCGAATTTGGTCAGGTGAGTGCCGAGATATCTTCGATCAAATTTTGTAAACAGCTTATATTTGATAAACGTTTTGATTTT